TAATAAGACCCCGCCTGTGGTCCTTTGCAAAAAACAAAGGTGGAGTCTCTTCCTAAGACTTTTGCTAGCCAACGGCGCCCACAACATTCCGAAGTATAGGGATACCTGTCAAGGGATAATATATTTCCAGCAACGACAGATGAGTATCGAGCTACCACTAATCTTATGCGTGATGAAGCGCTACCTCATTTCACCTATTAACTACCAGAGGATAAGCTTTTGGAGTTTGTCCTCCGCGGATCAATTGCGATCTCCGTGTCCAAATCGACGTGAGAAACTTACGTACGCAAGGCATCTCACCCCTCCCCGTGAAGAGGGTGCACACTAAGGACACTCTCGATGGGAAACACGAAGCGACCTCTACCGAAAGAGTTAGTGCATCCATCGAAGTGTGATCGACGAAAACTGTTAAAAAAATTAAAGACTGTTTTCGATTCTCAGGTTGTATTGAAAGGGCCTCGGAAGAGTAATCGAGCCGGACAGTGTCACGCTGTCAGATATTTGGACACAGCGCAAGTTTCTGTTTGCAGTCCCCGATGCCATAAATATGACGAAGGCTACTGACTGCAAGGTGCACAAAAGCACTAGAAAGTTCTGCCATTTGTACTAATTGCAGTGAAGCGCACACTGCCAATTAGCGTGGCTGCAAACATTACCGCGAAGACCTACACCATCCAATCAAACTGCTCTACCAACACCATAAAACAGACCCCTATTTATGTAACGCCGATCTTTTATGCCGCTCTCTTGGCCACAAAGACAACTCCTCAGATAACCCTCCAAAACATCGCAACCTGCAATTCGTCATCTGCTTTCAATATTGACCACAAACCTGACAACAATGTTAGAGAGGGTAAAGGGCCTGCAAGCCGTTTGCAATGGGTTTTGGACCGCAAGCGCTTCGTCATACCGTCTTCTGCTCTGGAATACAGAGGACATTCTACACAGGGAACAAGAATTCAGGAATTGCTGCAACGCGAAAGAACTGATCTATGTGTTATTGGTGAAACTCATCTTTCTCCCAACAGTCCATTTAACTTCTGCAACTTTTCGACGTACCTCCAGGAGGTGCAGCTATTATGGTCAGACGAAACATTCAGCACCGCGTGATACCTTTACCAGACCTGCAAAGCATTGGGGCGGTTGCAATTTCCCTCCACTTAACCAGCCAGGGCCCATGTAGGTAATTGCAACTTACAAGCTCCCCAGCATGCCACCTGCTACCTCAAATCTTGATACTCTTTTATAACTTTTTCCTCAGTTATTTTATGTGGGGTCCTTAACCGCAAGCATCCCCCCTGGTACTTGTCGATAACTTAAACGACCCTCGAATCTTACACCTACGAGCGCATACTGCGCATCTTAGGAAGCACCCACCGCATTTGGGGAAGACAGGGATATCAGAGGTATTAAACATTGCTGTTTTGAAAAATATTATTTCACCGGCAATTTAAGTTTTTTACGAATTCGCGTTGAACCATCTGCCAGTTCTGCTTGAGTTGGGCAACGAACAGGAGTTACTGAGGGCATGTACCAGAACTTTTACGGGCGGGGCTCAATTCTCTGAGGCTCTGGATAAAACCTTTTCAACATTTTCTTCCTTGCTTAATACGCCCGCTTTACTTAACGTTGCTGTTGCTGAATTTGAGGGTGCTTGACTATGGCGTACACACCGCCACTACCACGCTAGAAGTTGAGTTCCGTCCTAGCCACTTGCCTGATGAATTGAAGACCCTTATCCGCGAGCGGCGCCGCCTTATTCTAGTGGCCACGGTATTGCAACGATCCTAAGATAGATTAGCGCTTAATAGATTATACCGGCGCATGAGGAAAGAGCTGGTAGTGCACTATTAACGGATGGTAGGAGCCACAGGTAAGTAATATATAGGATAATAACTGTAACGGTCGCGTCTTTTGCTAAAAGTTCATAAAGAAATACAAAAACCGAGAGCGTTAACCATTACCTACTATGCAAGACTGCAATTTTTACGACTGAAAATGATGCTGACAAAGTGACCTTCTTTGACGATCACCTCTCTACACTATGTGCCTCCTGCTTATTCAGATGCTGATGCTTTGTGGAGCAAACTTCCTTGCTGTTGCCGAAAAACAGCTTGAGTCAATCACTATAACCGAAATCGAAGAGATTATTAACATTTTGCCGAAACGCAAACCCCCTTGCCCCGGCGGTATCACCAACGTGATTGTAAAGCAATTACTAATGCTGATTGTAGAACGCCTACTGCCTCATTAACTCTACGATTACCCTCGGCGCCTTCCCATTGTGCTGGAAGACGGCAACTGTTGTGATACTCCCGAAGACATCACAACCAACATCTACGCCAAGCAAATACAGGCTTATTAGCCTCTTGTCAGCCGTTGGCAAATAACTAAGGCAGTCATACTGCGCCGCTTGAAAGCATTGTTGACGCAAGTCACGCCGTGCCAGATTCCAATTTGGGTTTTACATGGACATTCCGCTACTTAACAACTCCTCCGCTTGACAGAGGAGAGGACTAGTGCCTTCAATTTAAAGAAGACAACGGGCGCTGTCTTGTTGTCGAAGCGTTTGACGAGTTTGGTACAAGGGCTTGCTTTACAAATTATGAGCCATAGACCTTCCTGTTATTTCTTTTTAGCGTGATCAAATGTTAATTTGAGAACCACCTCTTTGATATACGAGTGGGCGATGCGCGCTCACCCCTAAGACCATTAACAGCGGGCCCCAAAGGATCTCTTTACTCACTCTTACTCTTTGCACTTCCTTTACGCGACGTGCCACAGCCTGACGACCCCACACGCGAATTGCTTTATATGTTGATGACACGGCGATATATTCTTCGTCAAAGCCAATTGCCCTATTACGCCCGCACCTGCAGTACTACCTAGTGACGCTTGCCAACTGATGTTCGGCGTTGGAAAATTACTGTTAAGGCGGAAAAGAGCAAAGCCCTTTTTCATAAAGAGGCACACTACACCGCTATCGACGCTGACCTTTCAAAATAAGGTAATTCCTTGGTGTCCTCAGGCGAAGTACCAGGGTGTCGTTATTGACATTAAGCTCTCGTAGAGCCCGCACGCAAACTGTACCGCGGTGAAGGTCAAGGCGGCGGTTCATACTTTTTACCCTCTACCTTGTGCTTGAAGTAAGCTCTCGCTGCACAACAAAGGACGCTTGTATTTATTGTACATCCGACCGATCATGACATACACGTCTACTGCCGGGACCTAGAGCTCATCGGCAATAGTCTCCTCGCTTCAAGTGGGACAAAACAAGCTGCTACGCCTCAAGACGGGCGCGCCGTTGTTTGTTCGCAACAACACCTTACATGAAAACCTCTATATTGAACCTAGGGTAATGTTTTTTGACGCAATGCCATCTCCACCTACGCTCAGCTTAGCCAGCACACCAATCGATAACTGACAGAGGAGGTCAACTACGAAATCTGTCCTGCGCACGCTATCGCCGACCACGCAATGGCTCTTAAATATAATATGGGTTAGGAGTAGAATTTTTTTAGTACATATATGAGATTGCTTTAACTCAAGCCTAAAGCTAACGTGTACAGTATCATCCTGTTGGGAGCTCGTAAATTCGGTGTTTTCCTTTACAACCCGGTCGGGCACCCAGAAATATTAATAATAATAAAAATTTTTAATTGCAGTTGAGTGGATGCGCAAGCCTTTATAAAATTTAAGGGCGAATTTCTTGAATAAGGGCACATTTTTTAAATACTTTAAAGTTTTTCTATATAAATTTATTATGCTATTAATATATAATCCCTTTTAATTACTATAAAAACCGCTTAGGCTTAGTTTAAATAGTTTTAGAGAAATCCAAGGATATCCGATAAGTCTGATCCACCTAAAACTCTAATAAGAATTTTAAATTCCATTCATTGACTTTTTAAAAATTTAAAAGTAAATTATAATATATTTTACGTTTATTCTTATAAAAAAAGATAATTTCATTATTTACTATTTTCTAGAACAAAATTTTAAAAAGAAAGAAAAGAACTGAATTGGGAAACTTAAGGGGGGAGTAACAAAAAAGTGTAGAATAAAAAAATGAAGTTATTAAATTTTTTTTTAAAGTTTTTTGTTATTATAATTTTTTCTATATTATTTAATACACTGTTAGTAGTAGAATACTGAAGCAGTTTGAAAAATAATATTTTTCTGTCAACTATCATAATTATATTTTTATTAGCCATTTGCTATTTAGTGTTAAAACACTAAGAAATATAATAACAATGGTCATCTCAGAGGTTTGCAGAAAAGAATTAGTTCTTAATCTTAAAAAAATTATACTCTTTGGCAATAAATCGTTTGCCTTAATATTATTACGTATTTCCTCAGTTTTACTTTTTACCAGGATATTTATAGCAACTGAAGTAAATTTCTATAAAATAATATAATTTTTAGTAAGGAAACCATTATTATTCACCGGTTTTCTTAGATAGTTTGTGAGCCGTTTACTGTATAATAAAAAACTAATTATTTCTTTATTCTATTTTTCTGTTAATTTTTTTATTTTAATTAAACTAAGGATCCCTATCAGAAAATTCTTATAGTTCGAAGGTTTCTTGCGTTTATGTATATGTATATGTTTTGTATTTTTTATGAATATTTTTTTTATTACTCTGCATTTAAGGCATTTTTTTTAACAAAGTTGTGCAATTCTCCAACCCATCTGTTATTACAAATAAATTTATCTAGTACGCACGGTTTGCATAGATATAATATTAATGAGTTGGGTTTCCGTAAAAGTTTATAACTCCAAAGGTAGTTACTTAATATTTATAGGCAAGACAGTTTAGAAACCTTTTGGAATATTTTTGACTGATTCAAAATACTTGCTATCTGTTCTTACGCAGATAAATTCCAACCAATTTGATTCAAGTCCAAAAAATAATAATATTCACTACTTTATATAAGCCGAAAACTTAATTTCTAGATAAAATGCTAAATGCAATAAAGCAGACAGGAAATAAGCTTTATTACACAATACATTTTTCTAACAAACATTGCTGGGAACTATTATTTCCGGCGGGCTGATCTAAAGGTTTGGCCCCCCAAATAAGTATAGTCCCGTCGTCGCTGGCGGACGCCAGAGTGCCATTATTATTAGGATTCCACGAGACACTGTTCACAGTTCCGGTATGCCCTTTAAGAATATTAAGCAGACATCCGCTGTGTCGGTGCCAAATATACACATTATAGTCTGTAGAAGAAATAAATATTTAAAAAATTATATTTTGTAACGTTAAAAATTGGAAAGGTTCACCTTCACTACCGCTAAGGACAAAAGAATCATTATGGCCTCCAAAACAAGAACGAATTACGAAGCGCCCTTGAGTAGGCCCAGAAAACTTTTTAACGAGTTTGGCTTCGTGCAGGTCCCATAAGTGTATATGCTATACAAAGTTTTTAGCCGATATAATAAAAAAGCGGGAGGCAAAGCACCTGAGATTGCAAGCTGACCAGAGCATAACGGCTATCGGCTGATAACGCAATGCTCATAATAGAGAAGCTTTCTTGAATACTGGGAGGGCGCCGAGCAGAAATGGTCACAACAGGGTCAATAGTGGTGCACTACACTACCTACAATCGCTCGCCGTCCCCCTTAAGATTGTATATCCGGATCTTCTTCTCATAGCAAATAGCCACTAAATACTCCCCATCGTGGGTAACGGCCATGTCATTGATGCGAACACCCGACCAAGTCCTCATGAGCTTTCCTTCGATGCTCTGAATCGACGTGTTTTCCTAAGCCCCGCTTCACAAACTTTATAAAAAATTTTGCGTCTACCCAAAGATAGGTCTTCTGCTCAAGCCCGGCGGACACAAAGCCTTGCCCGTCCGGCAGCCAAGCGCAGGCCTGGACACTTCCGTCATGTTTAGTGACGGTTAGTACGCACGTGGCATCCTGTAAATCGAGGCACGTGGGGGTAAAAAGGAAAGGGCGTTAAGGAGAATAAAAAACACACGGAAGTGTCCCACATGCGAATATTCTTGTCGTTGCTGCAAGTAAGAATGTACGCGTCGTCGGGGCTCCACGCCACAAACCAAAGAGAGTCCGAGTGCTTTTTTAAAACGTGGCTTGCTTGCATGGTCTTTCAGGTCATTAAGAGCTTCGAAATAAATGGGAGAAGGAGAATGGTTCAATACCGCCACGTCCCAGAGAATCACGGTCTTGTCTTTACTGGCAGAAGCCAGGCGGCTGCCGTCATTGGAGAACTTCACGAACCAGACTTCGTCGCTGTGCTGTTTTAACACACAGACGCACTGCAGCGGAAACTCTTTTCTGGGACACACATGGTCCTCGTAAAGAGTCACGTAGGCGTCCTCGTAATTGTGGAAGAGGCACTGTTCTTCCTGGTGATCCACAGCCTGACGAATGAGCGTGTCCAGCCGGTCGTCCTGGATCATGTGCGCCGGCGGAAAAAAAACTATAAGAAAAAAGAAATAAATAATAATAATAAAATTTTCAAAAAAAATGCCTTGAAGTTTTTTAAGCAGTGCGGCCCTTGAACCGCCGGTAGCTCCCTCCCACGTGGCCTTTTCTCTAATTTCCGCCAAACTCTGGCACATCAGCAAACTTTGCAGCAAATATACTGAAAAAAAAACCAAAAAAAAATTAAACAAGGCACACCTGCTCAGCAGCTTCACGCGTGATTGGTGGACTTGCAACGGCGAAATATTTTCCCGAAGACACTGCAAAGCATGCAGAAGATTTTTGCTTTCGAGAATTTCTAAGTATTGCTGTTCGTATATTAAAAATTTCATTTCCTTAAAATAAATAAAAATAATAAATATTTTTTGAAATTTTATAATTATATAAATTATATTTATTTGTTTTATATTATTTGGGCTGTAATTAGTATTTTTATAATAATTTTTAATATAATTTTTTTTAAATTATTATAATTACTTTATTATATGAATAATAATAATTATTAAATTTCTTATTAATGATGCTATTTTTAATATTATTATTTATTACGATTAATAAATTATTATGACTACTTTAAAATTTTATAATAATTAAAAAATTATTAATTAATTTTTATTATAAATACTATATTAATTTTTGTAATAACTATTTTTAATAATAATAAAAGTTTATAATAAAAGCAAATGAAATATATATAATATGTTATAAATAAAAAATATTTGTAATAATAATAATAAACTTTTTAATAATATCCAGCTTCATTATATGTTATTTGTTGGGGTGTTGAAATATTTATTAAAAAGGGAAAACCCTCAAAGAAGCAGAAGTGCCCACGTGGATCTTAGCGGCCAGCTCAACAACTTTGTCCCACGTGCCTTTTCTGATTAGCGCGCGCAAGTCCCGCACAATTGCTTCATAAGTATAAGTATTTAAATTTTTATATGATAGTAATGAATTTATTTTTATTCACTTGAAAACAAAAAACTTTTCATGTATAATAATTATAATATTTATATAAAAATAATAAATTTAAAAAAATGGGGTTTATAAATAAAAATGGCTACAAAAAATTTTTTAATAATATTTTATAAACTTTTTCTGTAAAATATTACTATATTTTATTAATAATAATAAACTAATATAGTTATAAAAATGTTATTTATTTATTATGTATAATAAAAAATTAAGAAAACTTTATATTTTTATTTATATATAAATAAAGTATACTTATCCTGTACAAATATTAAAATATTTCTATAATAATAATAAAAAATAAGTTAAGAAAAAGATTTTTTTATTTATTATTATGAAAAATATATATATAATTTTTTTAATAAAACTTTAAAATATTTTTAATCATATTCATGTTATAGTAAACTTATTCTGTACAATTAATAATAGTTTTTAATAATAAAAATAAAATAAAAAAAAGTTTTAAAAAAGACTTTTCTATTGACTATTATTATAAATAAAGAGATATTATAATCTCCTTTATATAAATATAAAAATAGTTTTAATACTAATAATTATTATTATTCAGAAAAAATTTTTAATTAAAGTTTTTTTTATTTATTATTTAAAAAAGTTTTATTTTGAGTCCTATTATTATTCTTTCTTTTTTTGAAAAAAAGTTAAAAAATTTTATATTTAAAAAAATATTTTTTTAAAAGTTTTCTATTTTAGAATTATAATTATTTTATAAACAATAAACTATTTTTTTATCCCTACTATTTTTTGTTATATTTATTGTGAAATAATAAACTTGTTTTTATAAAAATTACAATATTTTTAAATAATAATAAAAAGTTTATAAATAAAAACTCTAAAAAAGTTTTATTACTATAAGTTTAAGAATAATAAATAACTTTTTTAAATATTTTTTTACCTTTTTTATAGTAAAAAGCATTCTTTATATAAATATTAATAAAAATTATAAACTTTTTAAATATTTATTATACTTATTATAGTTTTATAATAAAAAATTTTTAAAAAAATAATAAATTTTATAATAATAATTTATTCCTAAATAATTTTTACTACTAGAAAAAAATATTCTCTATAAATAATTAGTTTTACAAATAATAAAGTTTTAATAATGATTTACTTTTTATAATAAAAGTTAAATTATATAAAAAAATAAGAAATATTTTAATAGAATTATTATTAGTATAATAATTTATACTATTAAATATTTATTTCTACAATAAATAAAGTTTCTGATAATTTATATATTTACTACAAAATATTTAGTTTCACAATTAATATAGTTTATTATTAATTTACTTTTTATTATTATTATTTATAAAAGTTGAATTTATATATAAAAATATAAGAAATCTTTTAATAATTATTATCAATATAATAACTTTTATTTATTACAATAAGTATATATATTTATTTATAAAAAAATTATGTTTTAATAATTTATTATTATTATTAATATATTTATTACACACTATTTATTATTATAAATAATAAATTTTAAAAATAATTTATTTTTCGAACTTTTTATTATTATATTCTATAAAAGTTAAATTTATATAAAATTTAATAAACGTTTTTAAATATGAAAAATTGGAATTATAAAAATCTTAATACTTTTTAATAAAAATTTTTAAATATTTTATTACTATTATATTTATTTTTTTATACTTCGATACTTTATTCTTTTCTTATTATTATATCATATCTATTTATAATTTTAATGCATTTTCTTATTTATATAGAAATTATTTATTATTTATTATTATAATGCTTTAAGTATTTTATTATTATATAAAACTATATATTGTTATATTTTATATTTTTATTATTATTACTTATATAAACTTTATTATAAAATATTATTCATGGTATTGCTATTTATTATGGAAACTTAATATTATTGAGGAATTTATATATTTTATAATATAATTTATATTAATAATATATAAACAGTACTATTTCCTTACTATAATTTACTTTTTATATATAATTTTTAATTTAAAATATTATCTACTATTTATTTAAAAAAGTTAATATTATTAGTAAATTTTGAAATAATGAATTATATATTTATTATTATTATTTATAAATATAATTATAATAAATAGATAATAATTTCTTTATCAAGTTCTCTTTTTTTTAAAGAATAAATTTCTGATAATAATTTATATTTATTATATTTTTTTACTTAAATGTTAATATATATTGAAACAAAAAATTTTTTATTAATTACTATTAATATATTTATAACGAACTTTTTATAAGGTTTTACGTTTGATTTATATTACAGTTATTTAAAAGTTTTGTTTTTCAATAAAAAATAATGAATTATTAAATATTTATTTTTATTTTTATTTTTCAAATTGATAATTTATAATTAAGCAAATATTTATATACAATAATAATAAAATTTTAACTCATTTTTAGTTTTCATAAATATTATTATTTTTATGATGTTACAGTTTTATATATAATAAACTCTTTAAAAAAATAAGTATATTTTTTACTTTATTATTATATTTTTATCAAGTTTATATTTATTTATAAATATAATAAACCTTTTACTTTACATATTTTTTATTGTAACATAGATTTGTATAAACATAAACATTTAATAATTTTTAGTTTTTATTATCATGAATATTTAGATGAATACTCTATTTTTATATATAATAAACTTTTTAATTATAATTATAATTATAAATTATTTTCTAAAATATTATTTATAAGTTTATATTTATATAAAAATAAAAAAAACTTTTTTTTAATAATATTTTAAATTTTTATATTTTTCTTGGAAGATTTATTTGTAAAAAGTATAAACTTTTTATTTTTTTTTAGTTTTAATTAAACTTTATTATTATTTATTTATTTTATAAGTAATAAATAATATTCTCATACTTTTTATTTATAATTATTATGATTTTATAAAGAAGTTATAATTTATATATAAATAATGAACTTTTTAAAATATTTTATTAATATTATTTATTTTATAAATAATATTGGACATTTCATACTTCTATTAATATAAAAAAAAGTTTAAAATTTATATATAAACTTAATAAACTTTTAATTATTATAATTATATTAAATTAAAAATATTATATTTTTTTTAAATAATAAAGTTAACGAGTTTCTAAAGAAATTCCGGATTCAGCTTGAAGCGTTTTAGCGCTTTTCCTATTATATTATAAAATTACATAATAAAAATACTTTTTATAAATAATTTTATTATTTTACTTTAACAATAAAATATTAAAAAGTTTATATTATATAAATAAGAAATTTAAAAAAAAAGTTCTAAGTTTATATAAAAAATTCTAAAAACTAAAACTTTTTCATGAAAAATATTCATAAAACAAAAAATTATAAGTATAAGAAATATTATTAAAAAAGTAAAATGAAATATTTTTTTCAATAAAATAAAAAATCCTAAATAAAAAATATTAATAAAAAAAAGATAATGCTAATAATAAATTATTTTTATAGTAAATAAAATTCTAATATAAAAAATTTACTATAAATATAATAAATATTAATAAAAAAGTAAAGTAATGCTGATAATATAATATTTTTTTCAATAAATAAAAAATTTATTATATCATAAATACAAAATAAGTAAAATAATGCTGATAATAAAATATTTTATAATAAATAAATAAAAATTTAGTAAAAAATTTATTTATAAACATAATAAATTTTAATAAAAAAGTAAAATAATCCTAATAATAATAAAAAATTCTAAATAAAAAAATTTTATAATATAAAAATATTAATAAAAAAGTAAAATAATGCTAATAATAAAAATATTTTTTTTTATAAATCAAAAAATTTATTATTAAAGATTTATTAGAAAAAAAATAAATTGAAAAATTCTTTTATAATATACTTTTTAATATAAAAAAAATTTTTAATATACAAAAATTCAAATACGAAAAGTTTATTATTTTTTATTAGTATTTTTCATAACAATTTTTATATATAAAAAGGTTAGGTATAATAAAGTTTAATAATAAAATATTTTTTCTTAAATATTTTAAAAAAGTTTAATAATATTTTTATTAATTATATAGTTCAAATATTAAAAAAATAAAAATTTTTAGATATAGAAAAATTTAATAATAAAATATAATTTTTTTAAATATTAAAGAAGTTATGTAATTTATTTTTATTATATATTTAATCAAAAATATTAAAAAAAATTTTATAATAGTTTTTATATTAAAAAATTGAAAAAAATTTAATGATATAAAATATTATTTTTTAGATACATTAAAGTAGTTTATTATATATTTTTTTTAAATTTATTATAAATCTTAAAAAATATATATATAATAAAAAAGGAAGAAAAAATCTTTTATATTTTTATTTTTCAATTCTAACTTATAAATTGATTTCAGTATTAATCTACTTATAAGATTTTATCAATAGATTATAAACTAAAGCAAAAAAAATAAAAATCTTTATTAATTTTTTTTACTTTAATGCTAATTTATATAACAATTAAAAATTTAAAATTTAATTAAAACCTATTTAAAGCAGAAACTGCAAACAATCTAATTATTTCATAAAATAATATTTTTTTTAAAAGTAGAAGTTAACATATAAAAAGATTCTATTAAAAATTATAAAAGAAAAAAAATTAAAATCAATTAAAAAAAAATTTCTCATACTAATTCAATTTAATCTTTAATTTCCTGAAAAATTAAACTATTTTTAATATAAATTATTTAAATACTTAAAATATATAAGAAAATTCTATAGAAAAACACAAAAGGAAGCAAAATGAATCATAAAAAGATTTTAAATTGATTCTAATTTAAACAGAAAAATGCAACAATAATAAACTAGAAACTTCTTATAATAATTACTAATATTATTTAATAATATAAGTTAAAAACGTATAAAATATTCTATTTAAAATTATAACCTGAAACAAAAAAATAAAATAATAAAATTATTATTAAATTGCTAAATTGGAAGAAGATTTCAGTTTTATAAAAATTAAAATTTAAAAAAATAAATTTGTTTTTTTTACAATTAAATTCTATAAAAATACAACGGAAGCATAAAAAGAAAATTAATAATAATTTTTATTTACTTCAATGCAAAAATTTATAAAGATTTCAGTTATAATCTATGTTACTAATAATTTAAAAAATTAAAAATAAAAAATTAACTTCAAGCCTAATTTATGCAGGGATTGCAGCATTAGTCTAATTAATTCCTCGTGGTAGACGGGATCGTTCGTGTTGAGGCCATTCACTCCCATTTTTATTTTAGCAATTCGATAAGAAAAATTTTTATCTTCTACATCACTTTCTACATGTGCCTTAAAAGTGATTAAAAAATATGTTCTGCGTTAAAAATCGATAAAAATTAATGTTACTACAAAAGAAAATTAATAAATAGAATTTTTTCTATTATAATATTTTATTGATAAATTACTTTTTAACCTGGTAAAAAAACTAAAAAAAAACTTTATAGAGAAAACCTTTTTAGTTTGGGCCTCAGATTCCATTCCGCCCTTTGCGTGAGGCTACATTTATATCAATAATAAAAGATTTTTACTTTTATTAAAGTTTTTCAATTAAATTAATATAATTAATAATTTCTAACCGAAAAGCGTAATCTTTTAGAAGCTGAAGCGGTAGTATAATAATCCTTTTCACCTTTTATTATACAAAAAGAAGTGCAAGTAATGATTGCTTTAAGTTAAAAAATATCTAACCGACCCTTTAGGGGCGTAACAAAGTTCTTGAGAGGATCCAGAGTTTCAGTTTTTAAAAGTATAATATTAAGTATCCTACATTTTAAATAATAATTAAAGTTATTAAAAGTAAAAGAGCAGAAAGTAAACTAACCAGAAAAGAAGCTAGTTTCCGTTATTCGAGGGCTCCAAGTTTCCTACTAAAAAGTTGCTTATGCAAGAAAGGTCCTTAACTGTTTCAGACTTAAGGGGGTAAACTCTCGCGACTTTTATTTTCTTCTTTTCATAAGTATAAACTTTACTTATTAATAAGATTAATAGTTAAAAAAGAATTGAAAAAATTCCTAATGCAAGAAAAGTTCGAAAAATTGGTGTAGACTTTCTGGGAGAAAATTCGTACTTACTATTTTTCATTATATACAGATTTTACTTGCAACAAAAGCTAGTATCCACAAAGAATTAGAAAGTTGCTGGTCGGGAAAAGTTAGAAGTACTGTTTTATACTTAACTGGGAAAACACTCGCGCTTTTTAATATAATTTTTATATAATAATAAAAAAAGTTGCTAAAGCAGAATAAGTTCGAAAAACTGTTTTGTACTTGCTGGGAAAAACACTCGCACACTTATTTTTCATTTTAATATAAATTTTAATTATTTTGTTTTAATTTTTAATAGGACTACTTTGTAATTATTAATTCCTAACACTTACAATAGTTTCCTTATAGGAGTTAATAGGAATATGCAAGCAAAGTTCAAGGCGAACACTATCGTTTTAAAGAAATTAATAAATTAAATAAATTTAATAAGGTTATTAGCTTTTCGTACAATTATTTTTGGGGAACTCAAAAATTATAAGAGCCTTAAAGCAGAAAGTATTAATTATACAAAGCGGGTGGAAAAAAAACTTTTGACGTAAATTATTGTAGAAAGTGGACAGCAACGGAAAATAGAAATAATCTAAAAAACGTTAGTTTTAATTTAATAAGTGTTTTATTTTTTTTTAGTAATCTGTTTTAATTAATATGAGATGTCTTACTCAAGCAGTTTCGCAGTTTAAATAGTTTCTTTTAAAGTGAATAAGGATGCACGAATTAATCTTTTAAAATTTTCTGTAAAAAAAGTTTATTTCTAAAATCTCAGTTATAAATTCACATAAAAGTATACTTTTACTTACCCCACGTCATACCGATATATAGTACATTCGCATGCTTTTGGCTGAAAATGATAAATTTAGTTATTCTTTTGAAAAGTTTTTTACTAGACTTCAAATAAGAAATTTGTAGTAATAACTTTTTTGAAAAAGGAGAGAATAAAACGCAGACCTACTTTTCGTAATTTAGTACGTCTTTTTTTTATAGCTGAATTTCTAGGTGGAGTTACAAATTTTGAAAAAGAAAATATTAAGAGGATTGCCTGTTCTACAATACAACTCGAAATAAGAACTATTAAAGTAGAACTACGTCTAATAAATTACCAAAACAAATGTTTACAAATTGGGAAGCTGAGTGAAAAATTTTTGCAGTTTAGTAAATCTCTTAAACCTTAAATTAAAGTTGTTCTATATTATTTTTTATTCTACCGTGTTGTTATTTTAGTATTATTTATTATAAAATTTGAAATGCTTACTTTCTTTACATACCGAATAAAACTTTACGTGAGTGAACTTTATTGAACTTTATTATAAGACTTCATTCTCAGAATTTAAAACAGAAGTATTGCGTGAAGCTAAACTCAGACGAAGATATTTAAGTCCCTTATAAAAATGTAATAGAAATTAGTTCAATCTACAATAGTTTTATTAATTTTTTGCTAAAAAGTAAATACTAATATGTACATATATGTAAAATAGTACATGCAGAAAATAGTAATTACTTTTATTTCCACTACTAAGTCTTGTATAGTTTCAGAAGTCACAGAGATTTCCATGAGACTTGAAAACGCTTTCGGTAAAAAAAAAAATAATAATTTCAAGAAATCGTAAATCTCTTAATATGAAAAGTTATAACTTTTGGTGTGTTTAAAAATAAAAGTACTAATGCTTATCAACAATTTTTTTAAAAATTCATACGTTTTCGGCAAATGGCACAATTCTTTGTTTGAGATTGAAGCACAACTGCGCAACTACGGCACAAACAAAAATGTCTGCAAGGCAAAATTACTTTGATGTATTTTATTAGTTTCGAATTTAGCAAAAAAGAGGTATTAATAAAAAAGGCTTAATTTTAAAAAATATGTAAATACTAGTATAAATAAAATAAATTATAACATAAAAATTGTTATAAAGTAATTACAAATAATAATAAAAAATAATATTTTTATTAATAACTAATACAATTTTACAAAATAATTATGAAGCTTTTATGTTAATAAAAAATTCTTAGGAAGTAAAAATGAATAATATAAGCAATAAAGTTATTAATTTATATGCAGTATTTTTTGTTAGTATTGTAAGTTAACGTCAAGTGGTAGCGTAAAAATTCGTAGTCCATCTTAAATTACAACCACTCTCAAGCAAAGCGACGTACTTCCTCGCATAAAATTTTTTTTAAAAAAAATATTGTTTACGGTCCTCCTTCAATTACGGCGTTTTAAAGTAATAATTTAGATTTTCGCTAGACCTGTAGTCTTCGGAGCGGAAAGACAAACAGCGCAGCTAATTTCTTTCTCGAAATCATCAGAACTATACAAAGGCTCCTCACTTCCATACATTAATGCGGAATCATACAATTTAGTAGTTCCTTATTATTTATTAAAACAAGCTTTAACGAAGCTAATGGAAATCCAAATACCGTAAATTTCTTGGAGCATGTAACCTACTGGGCCAACCTTTTATTGTATAAAGCAAATTTCAATTAGTGTTCATCACCGCCATTTGTAGAATTTCAAGAACTAACATAAATTATCTGTTTTCTCATATTTAAAACATAATTCTCAGCTGAAATCGATTCTTCCAAGGAAAAATAGGAGACTAGTGAAATTGGCTCTTCTGAAGATGAATAGAATTTAATATAGTCCATTAAAAATAATAATAGAAAGGTACCTTCATTTTCAAGAAGAAGAATGAAGTCTCGACGTTCATCACCTTCGTTGAGCTTCATAATTTTTTTATAAATTATATCAATATCAAAATTATCTACAGAATATAGATTAAAAAAAGAGTTTGCTAAATATTTGTAAAAGTTTGTAAAGAATGTAATTTTACCAAAAACTTTTTTAACTATAAAATAATACTTACTTTTGCAGTATTTACCTAAAAGTATAGTGTATTCCTTTCGAATTCCCGGTTGACAAGTGATACTTTTCCGTAACTCAGACTGATAACTATTACAGAAAAAAAACACAAAAGGAAAAATATTGGTAACTTATGATTTGAGTCCCAAAAAAAGTATATAGTTAAAATTTTTAGGTTACTTTACTTCACTTTGGATGTCTTAGTCTGAATCACACTGTTTTCAGCTACGCCTGAAATAAAAATTTATACCATTAACTTTTACTTACTTCTCTTATTAACTAAAACATTTATTATAATTTTGTGATTTTAATAACTGAGAAAAATGAATACTTAATTCTTCCTTCGCCATTGCAAATAGAGTTGCTTTACATGAAATAAATGAATTTATTTGAAAAGTAAGTGTAAAAGAATTGTTTTCCAAGCGGGTTAACTTCACAGCATGAGAAACATAATAAGGACTTTTTAAAATTCCTACAGACGAGCTAACTTTTTCTTTATGCAAACTTTCATTGTTAAAATTTATGGTAGTAAAGTTTTCGTTCATGGGTATAGCCACAACGCTGTCATCGTTGTGAGGAGTACAAATATTTCTAACGTTATTAGAGGTGTAATTATTTTTGTTAGTAGCGCTATTGTCTTTCAAGTCATTATGGTTAGCGTTAGAAGGGTCTATACTTGTTAATGTCTTTAAATTTACTTTTTCACTGCTGGTTGTAGGCGTTTCTGCTAAAATAAAATCTCGGGCCAAAACAACTTCTTTTTGTTTGTAAATATTTCTTGCAGCAAGCCATATATAATCTTCTGGTAATCCAAAAAGATAAGAATAGGGAGACTTAGTCTGCAAAAAATAAAAAATTAATAAGGAACCAATTTTTAAGAAAAATATGAACACTTTACTTTATATATCTTCCCTGATATGACGGTAGCTTTTACCTGCACTTTAACAAATAAGAATTAATTTAAAATACTTTTATAAGAAATTAATACAATTGTGACATAAATAATTTGTAGATGTGCATACACTCTTCAGGCACCGGAATAACATTTTTAACGGTCAATTTTGTGCAACATAAAAAATTTCGTCGTTGAACGACATCCTGATTGTCTTCTATAAAATTGTTATTCTGCGAACTGGAAAGCTGGGAAACTAACTTTGCAAGTTCTTCGACCCTTTTAGTGTTTTCAGTGTAGTTAAGGTTACTTATATCGAGAAAGCGGTCGAAACTAATGCTAACAGTAACTGAGTTACACTTTGAAAGATGTAAAATATTATTCTCTTTTAAACCTATTTTAAGATCATCTTCTAGACTTGTGTCTTGACTTTTGGACCTTACTAAAAATTTATTATTAAAAAAACTATTGTTTAATTTTAGAAGTTTTTTAAGTTTTGAATCCGTTTCTTTTTTTCTTAAGGTAGAATCTTTTAGCTTTACCAATAGTATATCTTTTTCAACTTCTAACTTTTCAGTATCTTTTATTTCCTGAGAAAAATTCAGGGTGTTCTTTTTGCCATCCTTATTTTCATCATCACATATATTCAAGTTATAATTAGTTATATACGAAAATATAATGCCCATTGTTTAATTTCCATCTTTAAAAAAATTACATCCTTATTTGATAGACACTTGAAGGCGAAGTCTATATATAGAAAAATACCAATCACCAGATGCTTTATTAACAAGCAATAAAAAACCGTAAAGCCTGGCTTACTTTTACGAAAATAAAAAAATTTTGTATACCAATAGCAAAAAACTAGTTTACCAACATTTTTAAATATAATAATAGAAAAATTCTTTTTTCATATTATAAAATAAAAAGGGCTTTACTTTTTTAACAAGGGCAAATTCATATCTGTCGTTTGGGTTTTAGAATTTTTTTTATAAATGATTAAAAGATGGAAAACTTGTAAAGATATTAAAGAGTTAAAAATTTAACTCTTAAAAGTTGCAAGCCTAAAAAAGTTCAAAAAAAAAGATAAAATTGTCGAGGAAGTAAAAAATATTGTTAACTTAACAATATTAATTGTCGCTCAACTGCTTTTTGAGGTATATAATTTAATAGACCACCTATGGCGTTAGTAAAAATGTTTGTAAAAGTAAAACTTACATAGATAGTATACAATTCTCTTTTAGTAAAATAAATAAAATGAAAAAAAATTAATACATCCATCTATTAGTAGCTAAAATTTTATGATTATATATAATGTAGAGGGGTAAATTTCTATTTAAGGAGGGTCATACATTAAATATAATGTTAAATAGACGCTCATTGCAAGCTTATTTTTGAATAAATTAAATCGTGCATTAGCTTTTTTATGTTTCTCTTTATAAATAGAATAAAAGTAAATTTCTATTTAAGATAATTATTAATACATAACAGCTTAACAGTCAATTTTTGGCCATGTTACAAGCAATTTTTTAAGTTTTTTACGTTTATTTTTTAAGAGTATGCGCTAACCACGAAATGTAGTAATATGTTAAGGTTCTTTTAAAGATTATTAATTTAAACAGCCAACAATTCAGAAAGCAACTATACCATTTCAACATAGCATTGGAATCCCTAAAAAAATTTTAAATATTTTTTTTACATATTTAGGCTTAGGTTATTAGCTATTATATTAATAACAGTTAATTTATTGACAGTAGAGGCAATTAACTTTCTCGTATATATAAATGGCCTTCTCGTGGAGCAATACTTGTTTTTGTATGATTATAATAACTTGCTAGTAGTATAACTCAATTAAATATGCGTTTTTATCTAGCTTGAAACGTGTTTTATAAAAAATATATTAAGGACAAAACAAAATTTTTTATTTATTAGTTTCTAAAATGTTGAAGCTGCCAATATTACAATTTTAAGGTAAACTTTTAAAAAGGCTAGTCCAGTAAGTATTAATACCCGAAAGTGCATGATAAAATATTAATATTATTTACAAAGACTTTTACTTTGATATTTTTTTATTTAATTTAGATATAACTTTTCTAAATTAAAAATGAAAATAAATTATTTTAAAAAAAGTAGCGAAAACAGACCTATTAAGTCCATAACATATATTTAATATTAAACTTATTTTAAAGCCTTACTCTCTTATATTCATTTTATTCAATATATCACTTTACTAAATCATAATTTAATTAATATTATATAAATTAGCAAAAGCAGAACTATTAAGTGCATAATAAATATTTAATATTATTATTAACTGTTGTAAAGGTCTTTATTCCGATATTATTTCAATAAAAATAATAAAAAAAATTATAAAAATGGTTTTGCATAATAAGTATTAAATACTATTACATATTTATATACTTTCATTCATGGAAAATTAGAGACTTGGCAACTTTCCATTTTATAAATAGGACCTGACCAGCTTACAATTAAATGAGAATATATTACGAGAGACACCTCTTAATATATATACTCGCAATAGTTTCATTGTAAAGGCTTCAAAAGACTTATATAAGTGTAAATCTAGTAAATAGCTAATAAACCTAACCCATAATATTAAATTGTTTTACAAAACGAAAAATATTTTAATAAAAACACAAGAAATGCGCAAGAGCTTTGCATGTGTTCTTGAATACAATGTGAATAGTTTCAAGGTCAAAAGGATTACTTGTAACAGTTACTTGTAAAGGTGGAAACTTGTATAATTAGTCTAACAAAAATTAAATATACTGATTTAAATAGAGTAGAAACTAACTATTGAGCCTTATTTAATAAAACTTTGAATGGAAAAGTCCGTTCATAATTCTTTTAATGAAATTTGGGGAGAAGAAATTCTAAATAAAAATACAGATATTGCTTCAGCATCTGAGGACTGGCCCTGTTATCAGTATATAGATATGTGGAGATCTTGTACTTCTACGAGAGGTGCCTTTAACAATTACTATAGAACAGGTTACTTCGTTGTTTTTAAATTGTTTATTAAGAAATTTAAACTTTTTTGACACAAAGTAAATTAGTACTTTACATAAAAGGTTAAGTTAGAAACTGAAAAAGAAGTCTTTAATTTATAGTTTAGTTATTAACAGCATTACTAGGTATTTTGCAGCCTTGCACAAAGTATTTTAAAGTGTTTCGAAACTGTATGCGGTAAAAACTTTTTTATTTTATTACTACTTTACTAACTTAATTATATAAAAGATATAAGCTTTTATCAAACAAAATAGAAAAAAAAGAAATTTTTACTGAAACTTATAAAATTTTGGACACATCTGTTCAATCTGTATGGAAATATAGGATTGAACCACCTGAAAATCTAAAGAAACCTTAACTTATTTTATTAATAGCTATTATTTAACTATAAAACTGTGTTACGCTTTCTATTTCTTTATTTAGTTTGTAGTTATAATTTTTAATTAGAATTAACTATTATTTTTTCAACTTAAACAACTTATAGTTCTCTTACACGTTTTGGATGTATGAAAAAATAAAATTCTTATAATTCTACGGAGTTTTTGAGCAGTTTTATTCGTTAATTCAATTTTTATTAATTAAAATACCTTTTAATTATCACATCAAGTTGTGTTGCAACTATGCTCTATACTGAAATAATTATTTCTTTCTTATATAATATATAATTCAATGAAGTAAAAGCTTTCCTTTTTCAAACAGATATTAATTAACCGGTTTAAGCAGTAGTGATCAAAAATAAAACAATGGATGTAAAGGTTTATAATATACTCGTAGGTAAATCTAAAAAGTTATTAAAGCTCTAAGTATTATATCAAGTAGTTGGCACGGAGGGCTCCGATAACTAAATATTTTTTGAAAATTCTTAACTTTGAAATTGTTTTTATAACGCAAACAGGCAAAATATTCTTTTTATATGGCAGTTTTTATAATTTCTAGTTGCTCACACGGCCTTTTTAAAAATATATTTTTTTAAAAAAAGATATGAAACTTAATTTTTTTAACGAAGAATTAAAAAAAATATTATAACACGCTAAATCATGAGGTATACTATATAATAGGAGTTAATAAAATTTTAATGTTCACTTTTAACTCTATTTTATAAAGAAGAAAGGAATTTAATCGGCAGAAAAAATACTAAGTTAATCTTTATGCTTTAGCCAAAGAAGCAAATTAGAGTAATACTTACAAAAAATATTTTTTAATTGTATTAGTTACTCGTCAAAAGTAATTATGAATCTATTCTCTTACCTGGTTTTATATCTAGTATAATCTTTAATAAGTTTCAAATAAAGATTCCGCCGGCTACATCACACTGTTTGTTAGCTACCTCGAGCTTGAAACTTAAGTAATTCAGTCTTTTGGGATGCTTGGAAGAGAGTGATCAGCTCCCGATAAGTGCTCACTTCTCAAGAATAAAGGTTGTTTGTGGGACTTAGTTTGTGTGACAGATATTATGGGTCGTGTAAATAATTCAAATAAGCGTTTAAAAGGCAAAACTAAAATTTTCCCTACCTTTTTTTTTTTGGTTCAATCTTTCGAGTCTAAATTGACACTTCCGGAAGAGTAACTGCTTAAAGGCGAATTTGTACAATTTTACTCAAATGCAAGAATTTGTAAAAAAAAAAAATTTAAACTTCACGAAGTTTAAAAAAATAAAATTTTACACTTGAAATAATCGTTTGAAGAGAAATTTATCAATTTTTAAGAAAATAATATGTACAACTTTTAACAAAACCCTTTTCAACTTTATCTATCGATGTTGTTATTTCTCCAGCTCACTTCCAAATAGAAGTTTTGGAGTTACGAAATCAAATGGCATAGCAAGGAAGTTATAAGGATATACTTGGATACCCATCCAGTCTAATTGCATCGTTTGGAAATTTTTGCTTTTCGAGGCAGATCTTTCAAATTTAATTAATTTTGTGCTCTGCTATTCTTGCAGATGAAACTCGACTTAGATTCAACTAATAAACATAGCGCAGTATTAATCGACTAATATTTAGATAATCCTTATCTTCTTTGGTACTCAACAGACTCCAACATTAAGCAACTGACATAGTCGGAGAAATTTAAAAGCACGAGTGCAAGTTTATCAGGTTGCTGTTCTTTTTTAACATAAACGTGAGTATAGTTATTTTTTATTCACAAGATCCAATAGCAGAGTGATCTGTGTATGATAATGTGACTTTGGTAGTTTATAGTAGCGGTCGAGCTTAAGATTATTTCAAAGTAGAAGAACGGTAATAATAAATTGTTTTATATATTTCTATCAAATCAATAACAAAAAAATCATTTACCTTAAAAATTATAGAAGTAAAAACTTATTTCTGTTATTTAATATAGATGAAATAGTAGGGCAGGGCTACCTAGCAGTAAGTTTCAGTAGAATGAAAAAGAAATGAAGAAGTGGCACTCTAAAATAAAAGATTGGTCACCCTTGCCCTAGACTTCTAAAATCAGGAAGGAAAAAGAATCCGACTGACCACATAACTTGACAAAAAAGATTTTGCTAGAGAAGAAATGTTCGGTGTTCGTTAGAGGAAAGCCTAAGGAATTAATGTGGGTGGGTCAACGGTACTAAAAAGGAAGGAAAGACAACCTTACGGGAACAACTAAAAAAAGCTTAAGTTCAAGCTAAAATACTATTAATATTTGTACTAAAACTCGGAACAGTGCATTCTTTTGGAGGATAAAAATATGTAAACATGGGCGCTCGTACTTTCCAAGACCTCGACTAAATCATTGCTAAAGGAAGTAAAAATTTACGAGGAAGCTCTAATAAGGCAAGAGGTTTTTTTCTTGTGACAAAAAATTCAATATCAAAAGGCATGCAAGAGAAATTTGTAAAAATGCTAGGATTTAGATTAGTTCAAAGACGATATAAAATTTAGCATACTAAAGTAAGCGAAAGTGGTGTGTAAAGTCTAACAAAGGGACTTCCAGGAAAAATATTATTAGTAATGGCTAGATATAAGAACAAAAATTGTACTTCAATATATTAAAGCTATTTAAACCGTGGGTAAAGATTATAATGTTCTGTCTTGCGTGTTTTTTTCAATAATTATTATGTAGAGGCGCACTTTCATTTTCGAACATTTGTAAGTTGATTTTTTCTAATGTATTTTATATAAGCATTAACTTCATCAGAAGATGCTTGTTGGATATAAATATCTCATTATATTTGGCACACTGACACACATGGTAACTGCTTATTGGATAGATTTGGCATATCTGCACACATGATAACCACCTTATGCTTTTACAAATATTTTAAAAATTTAATTATAACTTTATTCAAGCTTTGTACTACAAAATTATGAGCATCAAGCTGAAGTTAGAATACACTAATGGGAATCAAACCCATTCTTCTATTAACACATTTCCTCTGAGTTTGACTGTTCTAAAACTTAAAGTATTGTTGATTTGTTTCTTGAACCTATTTCTTCATCTTTACCAAATATATGTTAGGAAAGGCTTGAGTTAATAACGGGCTATAGCTATACCTCTATGAAATTAACTTTGTACGATAAAAATAATAAAGTATCTGATTTGGAAGACGATGGCAAACTCTTAAAAGATTACTCTTTAGCAAATTACATGGTTTTAGAAGTAATCGGATCTAAGTCGGTATACTAGCCGTACAAAATTTGGTTAAATCATGTTTGTTTCGTATGTAACTTAATTTTTTTTAAGATGGTTGACTCTAATCAAGAAATTTTGAAGTACGAGATGAGCGATGAGGTTTACGATAAGTTACCTGGTTTTATATTAACTTAAATAAATATATAGTATATATTCATATTATTCGATTTAGGTACAGTGAGAGATTTTAAAAGGCTTCAACGTTTAGGTAGATTCGCAATCGACCCCGATGTTAAGAATATATCTCACTATGTTGGTTATTAAATTTTTTTTAATTTTTTGTAGTTTTTTTAAAATGTTTATTAATTATTACAATGTTTAATAGGGAATAATGAAGCTGAAAGCTTTCAAGTCGGTAGCCGTTGCGAAGTGAAAGTGCCTGGCGAGTCGATTAGACGTGGATGCGTAAAATTTGTGGGTGAGACTAGCATTTATTACTTTTTACTATATAAAAAAAATATTTGTAGTATTTGAGGAGTTTTAAGCATTCAGTAATTAGTACATAATTTTGTGTAGAATTTTAACTTGACGTATAGCTTAACTTTTTTAACGAAATCTGATTTAATTAATTCTAGTTATTATATAAATGATCGTTGCTCGTAATGTATATACCTTTTTATTATTGGTTTCAAATATAATTAATAATGATTTAATTTTTTTTTTTAAATTGAGTTGATTGATTTTAAAAAAATATAGTTTGTTGTAAAATTATATTTAAAGTTACTAAATGGTTAATATTTATTAATATACTTTATATTCAGTTTTCAGTTTTAATTTTAAAGTATATATTTTAATTATAACTATAGGAATTATTAATTTTTTCAAATATAGAAGCGAATAATAATCTAATATTTCAAATCTACTTTAATTTCTTCCAAAACTGGACAGTAGTAATAAATACTTAAAATTTATTTTTTTTTTTTATTCTGAAATTTTTGCTTAACTAATTTATTTTTGAGTTTGTAACGCTTTTATTGCTTTTGATAGTAATAATACATCATTTTCCAATTATTAATTTTTATTATTATAATACTTTATAATTAATTTATTTTGTTTATATTAAATTTTATTTGTTTTATAAAGAATTTTGTATTTTTAAATTAAACAAAATTTTATTTATTGTTTATAAAAATTATATATTTATTATCTTTTTTTATAATTATTTTTGCTTATACTTTTTCTTTTAATAAAGCTTTTTTAACATTTTATATATTATTAATAAACTTTTGAATTGTTATTATTTATTCTTTATATGATTAGAAGAGTCTGTTTCTATTTATATTAATTTTTTTTATAATATTTAAATATATTATATATATATTATATTAAATTGCTAACAAAATAAATTGCAGCAATGTTTTATATAAAATAGTAATAACATAATAAAAGTAAAAAGCGCTGAAGTCGGTGTCAACTGAAATAGTTATAAAAGTGCTGGAAAAGTAAAACTTTATAATAAAAATAAAAGTAACAACACATTATCATAAAAAAAGACGACTATTAGAAAAAAAATTCAAGTTCAACCGATTTTATGCGGACTTTTGGATCGGTGTAAAATATGAACGAATTACAAATAATAATAAATAAAATTTAGGGCAAACCGAATTTCAGACGGGCTATTGGATTGGCGTAGAATTTGACGAACCTCAAGGAAAGAATGATGGAAGGTTTTACTTTTTTTATTATATTTGGTTGTTTTGCTGGTTTTATTATTTTTATTTATATATAATTTTTTTTAGTATCATATAGATTATTTTTGCTTTTGTAGTTATTTAATATCTTTATTAAATTTTTATTTTTTTATGCAAAAATGTTATTCATTGTATTATTCATATTATATTTATTTATTATGTTTTTAAAAGCACAAATTTAGCATTTATATAAGTAATTATAATTATTAAATTTTATGTATTTTTTTAATTATTTAATATTTATTAATAATTTTTTTCATATTTATAATATTTTATATCATTTACTTATAATCTTAAAGGATAAATGTTGGCGTTTCTATTATTAACTCTGTAAAAAAAGTCATTAAAAACTATTTACTTATTAATAATAATTATTTTGCATATTTATACTTGGAGCTTGTAACAAACTGTTACTAAATTTATTTATACCGGCTTTTTCAAATTATTATTGATTGCTTAAAAATAAAAATAACTTCTCTCTTTGTAAATTAAAAAAATTGTATCGTTAATAAATAATAGTTATATATAATATTTTTATTAATAATAAAAAATAAATTGCGTCATATTTAAATTAATATAAAAATTATTAATTCATTTTTATATATTATGTTTTTGCATTAAAATACAACAAGCAAAATCTTTTTTAAGTTTTTTTTATTATCAATAAATATTCATATAAATCTAATAATAAAAATTATATTTTATTAAAATATTTTAGCCAAAACATTTATTTCCTTTATAAATACATTAGCATTAACGGAATTCGTTACTTTTCCTGCCCTCCACAGCATGGCGGATTTGTCCGTCCCCATTTTGTTACGGTGATTTAGTTTGTTTATACTTATTCTACTTTTATTGCTTTTAATAAACTTGTTTTTTTATTAAATTATTTTTATTTATTTTTAATAAAAACTTTATCTGCTGCCTGCTTTTTACTAATAATAATATATATTCTCAGACTGGCGATTTTCCTGAATTTGAAAACAGCGATGAGGAACTTTAATAAATATTTTTGTTTGCTCAGTCATTATAACTAAAGTGACGCTCACGGCATGTTCCTATAATAAATTCAAGTGTTTTATATTAAAAACATTGAAATGTTTACTGTTAAGTTCTTTATTAGTGACTTCTAACTGCTTCATGTCATAAAGTAAACTTCCTCGTCCTTATGACTGCCTGTTTTCCATTATTATGGAAAAGTAATTTTTTCTAAGCCAGAGAAGGAACTGTTACTAAAAAAAACTAACATGTGGTGTGCGCACATGTTAACTGGTTTGCATGTGCAATGATTTATCTCCAAACAAGAGTGAATACGTGGTCAAAGCACCTATTTAATTTGTTTTAAAAACCTACAACGCTAATACTTCTGACCTGAAAGTCACTGACTTCGAAACATCTATGTACAATATTAACAAGTTTTAAATTTTTACTATTTCTATAATATTAGTCTCTGGAGTTGGTCATAGAAAACTTGCCTGCTTGGTAAAAGCTTGGGGCTGAGTATGTATTAAAATAGTTATGAACAACTTTAAGTTTTTTAAACATAAGGTTTTCTGGTCCTGAAAGTTCAATTGACTTGCTATAACTTATATAAATATGTAAAATTTAAGCTAGCTTTCTGCGTAAATAATATATTTTTTTTAAGTTGAGGTTTTTATTATCAAGTTTCAGTACGAAAACGTAGTGAATAAATAACAAAAGAGTTAAATGAAGCATTGTCGGTTTTTCTGTTATAAAAATAACATATAAACTTACGAGTATAAAAATTATATACATTTGTTTATTTCCACTTTGTTTAACATTAATATTGTCACTTCATAATTTTCTCCTTTTATATTATCTCATTCATCATTATTGTATTAATCGTAATAGAAGCCGCCGACAAGGTCGTAACCCACATCATTTTCGAGGGGAATAGGGTGGGCCTCGGGATCCTCATATATCTCAGCTATATACTCGCCGTACAGTGCGGGATCATCCAGAACTTTAGGCCAGTAATTTGTAACTTTCTCAACACCGTTTGGTTCTTCATTAGGTACACTTATAGGGGTAGAGGTAGAGACAGAGAGTGGATCGTTTACATCGTACTTTTTCGCATTAAGTACATTGGTTTTACTTATAACTGGCCTAGAAAATGAAAAACTTGTTATAAAGGTTGCTACGAATAATAGTATTATTGGTAGACGCAGAAGAGTCATTTTAAAATTAGCATAAAACAACTTAATAATTCGACTATTCAAAAGTCGAGATCATGTTCCACTTCCTTATATATAGCTTTTAAGCGGTAATATTTTACGTCATAATTCAGTTTACTTGCCTAATTATAAAACCAAAATTATTAAACAGAAAAAAAACCGGTAAAGAGTTATAATTTATAACTAATCGCTATATTTTCTACATAGTAAACTTTTATTTAATGTTCCTAATTAGTATTAGCATTATAACTAAGAATGGCCACTATTTTTTTTGCTGCGTTATTAGTACACTAAAGGTTCCTCCTATTATCCACTGAGCGTAAATAATCAGAAAATTTTTATCGGTTTCTAAAGATGAAAAATTTTCAGGGAAAAAAGTGTTTGTAATTATATTAATTTATATTTTAACATTATAAGTGAGAGTATAAATTATTTAAGCCCATAAGTTTATGTGGTGACATTATTTATTTATTCGAAGTATTAAGTTATGGACTCCTTAAAAATTAACATGTTAACTCATAAAATCATAATGAATAAATTATTAAAAAGGAAATGAGTATGTTTTACGTTTGATATAATACTGCACAAATGACCACTAACAACTTATCTATTGATGGAAATATCCTATAACTTATCATTATAGTCTCTTTTTTTCTAGTTAACAGTTTTATTATAGTATAAATGTCCAACGTGAGCTTTCAAACATTAAGGTTTTAAATATAAAATTACAGTTTCTCTTTCAGTCTCGCAAACTGTTCACGGATTAAATTTTTGTTTTAATGCGTTTACTGATTTCAAAATTCGTTACAATATCAAAATTAACTCTCAATCGGTTGTCAAAACCCCACGCTATCTGACTGACCGTGATGTTAAAAATAAATGTAATTATAATCTACCAATAATTTCTCTAGGTATTATCTACTTAGTTTTTAAAATATTAAAATAAAAATGAACGTAGTATATATAAAATTTAATTTTGTATGAAGTACTTTTGGCAAAGGTGGGTTGCTTCTCGATGTTTAACTTTTAGTTTTTTTTTAAACGCTTGAATTCAAAGCATTAAAATAAAATTATAAATACTTTGCAATAAGCTATAATTGAAGTATAGGGTTACTTTCTTAACTCCTTTTTTTATTTTTCTTTATTACCCATTTAACACTGTTAAAGGCTACTACTAATTAGGGCGACGTAGTGGGTTTTAGTGTTAATTCCCAAGTTTAACGCCTTTATAGTTGATATGGGTGATTATGCTTAGGTTTTTTGCAGTTACTGACTTAATAAAATAAATATTATTTGCGTGAGGCCTCGAGACAATTGACTCCACTTTAATTTATAAAAACTATTTTTATCACCAGCTTTTTTGCAGGCGAACAGGTTAGTTTTATCAATTCATATAACCGAGCTTGCAGTTGTCGCCGTAGGTTAGGAGTATCAATCAACGCCACCCTTTTTTTTTGGTCTTTAAGGACAGCTATATGTAGTCTCGCCTTCATATCTGATTAATACAAGAAACCAAGAGTTAAGTCAATTCTATTGCTTTATATAGCAGTTTAACCTCTTAAATGTCAAGCCTGTTTAAAATTTTACTTAAAATGTTCCCTTTGTTACATGCTTTATAATGGAAGACTAGCTTTCATTAGATTGCTAACTGTTTATGCTCGGATGTCAATGAGAAAAAAAATATTTAGTTAATAGTCATTTAATCTTTCAACAGTAAAACTGAAAATATGAAGGGACTTCCACCTCATTTTCCAATTTTAATAAAATTTGATTTAAAACCCCCACTTCCGGCAGCTTGGGTAATACTTGAGTTAATTATTAGCAGTAAATTGCATTATAGCTTATTAAATAGTGCTTTACATAGTTGTAATTTTTTACTAGTTTCATTACTGGCATAAGTAGCACTCTTAAGCTGTTATTAAAAATTCGTTATCTATTTCCACCTATTCTAGCTTGTAAACCAGGCCAATAACAGTAAGTACACGACCACTCAAATCTGTAGACTGGAATCTAATGTTGAGCACAAAACTCCATACGTGACAAACCAAAAAAACGTCGGCTATAATATTAGTTACGTATCAACGATCTTTTCTGTTCCTCGATCGGGTTAATGAACTTTGAATTCTTTGAGTTTACAAATGAGTAGTAATTTTTTATCGGATTTTCATGGAAGACTGCAGTACGTGCCACACCACGTGTCCATGTACCTCAGTACTAACCATGTCCTTGAAAATTTGAGCTTAGAGTGAAGGAAGTGAAGTGCTTTTAATCAAATGCGAGAGCCAAGAGGGTTTGTGGCTAACGGCAAGCTGAAATATAATGGTTTAGCATATGATAAGAAGATTGCTATGCTCTTATATATACAATATAAGATCCTTAAAGATTTTTAAATATCTTCTTAGTATTTATTATAATATTATTAGATGTAAGTTAGTTAGACGGTTACTTTCTATTTAAAGTGCACAGGAGTCTCTAGGCGTCCTATTACTAACGCTTTGGGAACCCAGCGGCTGCTGAATACAGAGTAAATTCACTGATTTAATGAAAAACAGGCAGCGCTATAAATAATAAAGTACATTAAAATCTTGATCGTACAAAAAGGACCTGTTTTTACTAATTTATTAGGCCACTTTATCATATAGTATAGTAAATATTTGTTTTAACTTTTAAACCTCTAGTAAACAGTGACCAGCACATGATAAACAGAAAAATTACCACTAAAGGGGGACGAGCAGCCCTCGGTGGTAGTAATTTATAACAAAAATATACCTTATAGATTTTATACACTCACTCTGTTAAACTTAATAACAATTTCTCTGCTTTTAATTTTCGACGCCAGCCCAATGGAAAATGTTACAAAAACTATTTCTATCAGATTTTTAAAAGTTAAAACTACAAGATGTGGAATTATTTAGCACAATGCAGTAATAGCATGCTTAACTTAACAGGATCAGCTAACATACTCGGCTTAAAAGCGCTAAAACTTGAAGCCACTCTCCTTATGCGCAATTATAAGATAAGAAAATTAAGTAGTAGTAGTAATAATGTTAGTAGTCCATCAAAAAATCCAAATAAATGTGAGGAAGGCCGTTCTAACAGAAATAATAGCAATAACAGTGAGTTTCTAAAGGAAAAGCTCTACGACTCTTTCGACGGTTCACCACCTTTCGACTTGTGTTGCATGAACGGCTGTGAAGACTGTGTTTTATTTGACTACTTTGCTCAACAAACTATGGAAGAAGAAAACTCTCATAACAATAAAAAGGTTGGCGGAGCCTCCCCTTTAGAAGCTTTTGCTAGTTTTGAAAAACAATTAGCTAAAAGGAAAAAAAAAGAATTTAAATAAATTCAGGCAGTTGCATCTCCAGTACCATGGGGTAACGAAGAGGCCAAAATGTAATATTTTCCACCTATTTCCTTGCTTATATCATTTTAACCGTCGTTTTATTAAGGTGCAAAAAGATATTACTTTAAATATTGAAAACTTTACGTAAAATATTCCCAGTTAAAAAAGAAAAATACAAAGGGAAAGGAAAGCACAAACATCTTTAAGCCCTTAACTTGTGAAGCCGAACAGATACTTTACCTTTATCGATGCAACCTTAACTAAAGCGAACTTATTTAGGAACCTCAGTATAAATAATAAAAAACTATAAATAAAAAAATAAAATAAAAGTCTTAAACTTTATTTTTCTAGGCTTAACCAATTTTGTCAAAAATAATCTTTCTGAATTCATATCCGGACGAATTTTTTTTAAAGCTAGATTATAAACTTAAATAACACGTTAAAAAATTAAACAAGGCATTGTATTACAAAAAAGTGCTAAAATTAGACACAACTTTTAACAATCCTTAATAAAATGCTTAATTATTATAAAAGGAAAAACGTAAAATATAAAATCTAGGTCAATTAACAAATAGAAGTTGAAAGATAACGAACATATATATTAAAGCAAAAAGGCGGGAAAATATAATATTCAAAAGGAATAGTGAATAAACAGGCTTAAAAGTTGAGTTTTTAAACCATAAAAGGAAGTTATTTAGTATAAAAAAATAAATCGGCAAGCCGGCGACTTTTGGTAAAGGAGAGCACGTTGGTTCTCTCTTAGATTGTTTCGTTTAATAAACGCAATTTGGCTCTTATAGGGGATGTTCAAAATAAAAATAAGTACTTCAAGTGAAATAAGTCAAAAGTAATTTATAAAATATATCAGCACTAAAAGATCTTTTGGTAAATAATTATATAATACTTTTGTAACTATACACGCTTCTTCATAGATTCCAAAGCTTGTCTTCTCAAAGATTCTGTTAATGTTTCTTGTTCTTTCTATTAATTTTATAGGAAATTCGAGTTGCAAATTGGCCAAGTGTTGCGCAAAAATTTAAAATTTCGACACCTGAGGGGAATCTTCCCTCTCCCAACGATTATTTTTCGAAGAAGTCTCTGAAATCATAGAACAACTTTCGTTAGAAATTTCCAAGTTCTCGTTTAAAGTTTCTTTTAAGCTGTTATCCTGAGCGCCTTCATTGTCTCTATGGTCCTTCCGATGTTTTTTACGATGATGGCGACTTCTGCTTCGTTTATGTTTATGAGAACTTCTATGTTTATGCCTTCGACTCTTTTTGCTGCTTTTATGCTTACTGCGACCACTTCTCCTTCTTTCTCTCTATTATATAGTAATAAATATAGAAGTTATAGATAATAACAATAAAAACAGTTTGCATTACAAAAATAAAAACAAACTGAGTACTTATAAAAAGGCATAAGGTAAGTTAACTAGAAAATTAAAAATATAACCAAATAAATAATGACTCAACTACGACAAAAAAAAATAAGATAAATTAAATATAAAGCAAACAAATCAAGAATCAACTAACAGAAGAGGAGCGGGAATCAGTAGTGCTAGACGAACGAGAGTTAGAACGAGAGCTACGACGGTGGCGATTTTTAGACTTTGCTAGACCTTCTAGGGATCTAGAGTTATAATCTTCGGTCGTTAAGGTCGTATTAGCCGTTTTCTCGGCAATCTAAAAGAAAAAGCTTAGCACAAAAAAATCAAACTTAAAAAAATTACTTTTTGCTTCATCCATTGACGATGTGCAGCAACAAGGAAGGCTTCCTTGGGTTCGACAACTTTGGACAATTCGATTGCTTTTTCTCTCTTGAGTTGCTCTTCGGCTTTCCTAGCGATCTCTTTCTGAAGTTCTCTTCTTTTCAAATCTTCTTGTAGCTTCTGTGAGATAAGTTCTTTTTCACGCTAATATAATCAAAAGGTTGTATGTCTCACACCATGAAACCAATTTTTATAAACTTACTCTTTCTTTCTCAAGTTCTTGTTTTTTCTGCTCTAACATCTCAGTGGGGATTCCGTGAATGTTATTCTGAGCACTAATTAAAAGAGACCACAACTCTTTCATAAATATTTTAGTTTTAGATTCTAAAAATCCAGTAATATTTATTTGGATATCACGGGGATCGGGGGCCTGCATTTATAGCATACAATAATAAACTAGCTAAATTAAGAAAAAAACGTTAATAACAAGTATTAAAATTTTACATATATATTATATAATGCATTAAAAAATTAACTTATACTACAAAACTTAAAGTAAATAAATATAACAAATTTAAGAGTAGAAATAATATGAATACATAAACAAAAAGAGTACAGCTTCTGCATCAAGTAAATTGCAAATAAAATTAACAGCAATTTCATCTTCGGTGTTTAAAAGTTCGGTGACTCTCAAAGCTATCCAACCCTTAATAACATCCAATTTGATTTTTTTCAAGTCGACCTATTTAAAATTTATTAAAAAGAGCTGGCCAAATAGTAATAAGTAAAGTTATACAAATAATTATAAAATAACTACGGGAATATTGAATTCATCAGGAAATTGAGACTTCAACTGTTTAAGAAGTTTCTTTTTCTTGTTCGAAAAACGGGCATCCTGTTCGGCGCTAGTCCCCTGAAAACATATATTGTTAACCAAAAATACTCTTATAATTTATTCTTTTTATTATTTTCTAAATTTTGTACTCTGAAAAATCCTGCGTCGCCCATTGCTTCTGGGCGAGAGCGAAAAAACTAGTTAGGAACTATAAAGAACAAAAATGTTTCAGGGCGTTATTTTGGTAACACGTGTCGCACTTAAATTTTTCACTTAAGCCCTAGGCCATTTGACCGAAGGCAACAAAAAAAAGTTAAAGTTAACGCTAAAGTTTTTAAAGGGTTGAAGTACACTTATAGCGTTACATTAATAAGATGATGCTAATTTTTTTTTATGTATGATAAAAAACTATTTTTATTTTTAAATGTAAACTCATCATTTTCATGACCTAATTTCCTCTTATTATTTAGTGGTAGTTGGAGTTGCCTTATCTCTTTAGTAGCTATCTAAATTAAAATTAATTAACCGAAGTGTTATTTAGATATATTAATTAATGAAAGGTCATATAACTTATAGCCTTAAACCTAAAAAAATCTTTTGGTATAATATTATAGGTTGCATCTTTAGTGGGCAATTTAGTGGTTTATGGTAGATTTTAATAAATGGAATCACGCAGTTTACAAATTTGTATCTTTGATTGTTTGTTTTTATTTTAAGGCAAATCTAACATTAATGCATTTTTATTGGGGGTAATAATCTAGTAAGTTATTACCATATACATAAATATACACTAATTTTATAATAAAGTCGGAACTTTTGTTTTCTAGTCACTGACTTCTTCTTCCTTGTTTTAGTAAACACCGTTAGTCGGTTTATAGAGACTGAATAACCGTCAGTCGGTTAGGTCAAATATTATATTTTAAAAAGATTTCCACACGATCTCGCCCGAAAAAGCTTTTTTCAGGTTTCCAGTACGAATACTTTTTACTAACCTCAATGGGTGTCCTTTTAGTTTCATTCTCCATTCGTCCAATCATAATGAATAATTCAGCTTTTGGCACGGCGGACGAATTAGAGTACATTACTCTTTACCTCTCTATTAATTCTTTTTATGCTTAAAAGATAGTTGTTACTATTTGATTAACTACGATTCGTTAAAGAATAAGCAAACAGTGTTCACAAAATTAAATTACAAACTTATTTATTAAGTAATTAAACAAGGCGAAATGAAACTTCTAAAGTTTCACTCTTTAAAAATATAATTTTTACCTACGGACAACCCGAAAAGCTCTCCAGCATTTGTTTATAAAGAGCAATATCGTGTCACTTAAAAAGGATACCTTGCTTCTACTAACAGAAAAACTTTGGACTATTAAATTTTTATGGTTACCACAAAAATTAGAAGGGTTTCATACCATTAATTAAATATATATTCTAAAGAAAAGACGAGTAGTAGATCATGTAAAATAATCAGTAAAACAATATTAATAGAAAGTCAGTATTTGGCCTTGCATCACTTTCATCAAATTCGTTGGTGCATTAAAATTCACTTTTTTTTGAGCAAAATATAAGCTTATTGGTTAAACCAAAAATTATATAGGTTTCTAATAATATCTACTTTTAATAAAGTTATATTAAAATTGGGGTTAGGATAAGAGTAAGAAATAAAAGTAAAAACCGCAACATAAATGAAGATAAGTTAAAGGAAGACCTACTGATGTCTGCTTTATATTCGTGTTAAATTGCAGTAAATATAATAAGAAATAGCTCTCTTACTATATTTAATTATAGCTTCCAAGCTAAATTAAAATTTTAAGTAGAGAAGTAATTAATTCAGAAGAAAAACTATACAATGTGAACTGACTGTTCCACGACTGGTGCACTTTAATTGCGTGATAAAAATTAGTAATTGTTTAAAAAATTGTAGTCTTCATCTTAGTAGTGTAGTTTGTTTCTTTATAACAATTTGCTTTTCTCTTGTACTAGAAAAGGCAGTATTGTTGTTAATGCTATTCTAAGCTTAATAAGAGTGGCAGCACTATTGGTGTCATTTGTATCCACCCGCCCGAAAAACGATTTTTCCAACTTAATTTTGGGTGTGCATTCTTATTTAGGTGATCGATACCTTCAGTACTCATTTTTAATCGTTCTTATTAGTAAGGCATTAAATTTACACAGGAATTTACTTCAAATTTAAACACTATTAAGCAATAGTTTCTTTTGACCTAATTTTAATAATAGCTGAGCAAACTTTAATAACCTCGCGCTGTGCTTAAGCATAGTTAACTTTTTCGTGCATAGCCATGAAACTGTTTTTTAAAATAAATAAGCTAGTATACTTTAGTTTGGAAGCTTAAATAGTTTACAATGTTCTGTAAAGGAATAGTTCTTTATCCTTGGAGGCGTTTTTCCACAACGCTAACCATCAATAATAGTTTTATGAAATCCTTATTTAATTAATTTTTTATTGGTTTAATAAAAGAGTATAGTTTAAAGATAGAACTCTAAATGATTGACTGGTTAAAAAACACCAAGTTTTAAAGTTTATTGTAAGTCCGTATAAAGTGCATTCTGCATCTATTCATTATCGCGGGCGGAAGATTGCTGATATTATATAAAAATTTATATTTAGTTTTTTAGTATTAATGCCAGCTTAGCACGCTATTTATAAAATTTACTGAGAAAACCCTGAAATCTTATATAAACTAATCTCTATTACTTAAATTAAATCTTCCCACAAAATAATAAACACTAATTTTTTAACTAAGCCACGAAACTATTTATTTCTTTCAATCATTCAAGCACGAATCATAGGCAACAGTTTAGAAAAAATAACTTTCGTTATAATAAATAATTATACTCTCAGGCAGCACCGCAACAAGATTCAATCGTTTTAAATTACTGTTTATTCAAAAAAAGTCTTAAAATTATTTTTTTCTTAATTACTAAACTTATTCCTGTGCATTTCGGAAGTCAACATTTATTATGCACCTTTTCAAAGTAGGAAATCTCTACTCAAAAATTTATTGATATGGTTGTATGAAAAAGGGAAACCGTTAATTATAAACTGTTATTTATCTGTTGCATACCCGAACAAAGATCGTAAATTAGGCTCCTAAAGCATCCATGAGAAGCTATCTCATCTAAGCTATTTTTAAAACTTATTCAATTTCTCCGTGTATTACTGTTATTGCTGCAATTCATGTAGCCAACTATTACTAAAGGAGTGCGTGTTACCCTCTTGCCTACTGTGACCAAAGTATACCTTAAAACTTAAGTTTCATATTCTATGGAAGTATAGCTAACTCACTTCATTATTTAAGATGCTTCCTATGTTGTTTATGAAGTTCATTATTATATCATTTCCATTTACATTATATAAGAGCGCTGAGTTAAAAAGAAGCTTTTATTTATTTTCATTTTTAAGAGAGTTTTTCTTTAAACTGTACATTATACAAATAACTAGTGAGAAAGCATTAACTTACTACAAGTAAATACAAACATTTTATTGATTTTCCGGGGCACTTGGCTGTTAATTAATGCTCCTGCAAATTCAAATTTAATTGCCTGGGGCTAAAGGAATAGCTCTTGACATCCATGTCCTCAGTATCAAATACAAATGAAAATAAACTCGTGGGCATTTCTAAATACTAAATAAATTAAATTAGTAATTAGGTAAAGATAAATTGTAGCATTAAGATTATACGATATACAATTCGCTAACTGCACTTATTATACAAAAACTACAGAGCTAACCTTTTTTTAAACCTTGAGCGTAGAGACTATCATTTAAAGGGTAATTTCTTTAATTGGGTTCTAAGTTAATTAATTTATAAACATAAATAAGACCAAAAATTATGAATATACTGTTATACTTTACTAATCATTATTTTCAAAATATAAAGATATTGCCTTCATAAGATGCAATTATATTTAAAATTAATTTAACATGGTGGTTACAATTTCATTAAAATTTTTCAGTTTCTTATAAAATAACCTAAAATAAATATAACCTGTTAAAAAATTAGCATTTAGATAGGCATACTAATATCCCTTCAACTACTAATACGTAAAACAATAAATTACGTTTAGCTACTTATTCTTTATAGTCTTAATTATAAACTATTACTTCTAGGATTGCCAAAACAAAAGATCAAGTAGATTAAATTTAATATCATTATTTATTATTTATAATCTTTAAGTCTCTGAACAAAACTTCATTTTATTATAATTGCTGAAAAACAACATAACATATCCCAGTTATAATTTAAAGTTAACTAACAAACAAAAAGCTATATTTGGTAAAGTAATCCTTTTGTTAAACCTTGGGTATCTTTCAAGTAGTAAGTTAATAGATAGAGGGTATTACCATGCCAAACTGTTTTAATAAATCAGAAATTGGAATAAAGAATGCTTAAAAATACTGATAGAATCCTTTAAATCGTTTCTAAGGCTTCTGCAACGAGAAGTAAGTTAGCTGTATAGAACATGAAAGAAAAACAGCTTAAACTAGTTCATTAGATTCATTTAGGAAAACACGCTTTATGTTATCTTCATGTATTTTAAAAATACATAATTTCTATTAATCTCATAGTATTAAAATAATATGCTCATCATATATAAATTCTCTTGTCTTTTAAGAATACTAACTCTTCTGTCCTTTATGCTCTGTTACTCAATCATGATTGTTTTTAAACATGATACCTACATATACAAACAAAAATAAGCCAACAGTTTTGTTAAAAGTTTACATTTCCAATACAGGGCCTGGGTTTCTTTTTATGCTTATAAAGACCTTAAAATAGAGATTATTAGAAAACTTATTAAGTTTCTTCAAGCACATTGCTAAGAAAAACTCGCTATATATTGCATTGATTCGCGAACAAACTAGGAACGTAAACTGAATTTTGAGGGCAACTATAAGGAAATTAAAAGGTACTCTAGAATTTTAATAACAAACTTATAAAAATATTACAAGACTTCATGATAGCATTTTTATATAAAATTAAGTTAATAAAAAAACAGTGTTATTTTAATTAGATTTTTTCTAATGGTAAGTAGTAATAAGAATAATGGGATATTTACGAGCTTAAGCTAAAAAATTTTATTGGTTCCTAACTCATTACATATAATCTTAAGAATTAAATAGTTTTGTTATAAGATCGTTGAACTTGACATGACAGGCTCATATAAAACAGGAATTTTCTGCTGAGATAAAAAAAAA